GAACAAGGCTTCTCGGTCAAGAGGCACTACGATTGTTATTTTTGACAAAAAAAAATAAAAAAATTCTGATCAAGCTTTTTCAAACTAGTAAAAAGGTAATAAATCCTCCGAGGAAACGCGCTGATGAATGTATAACATTTGTGTTGTAGATACGCAGTAAATACTTAGCCTTGACACAAATCCTTCCCTCTCCCTATAAATATGCCCAAATGCAGGTGAATTTACTAGCATAAGAACACCATGCTCTCGTTGGTATATTTCCAAAATCGTTGCCGCCCAACTTTAGTGCTCATAGGGTGTGTATTAGGGGCCGGGGATTGCCGACGCGCGGTTAACGGGGAATAATTTTTGTCACCCGGGCCAGAGCTTTCACCCTTCTTCAGATCCTTGGCAATGCCAGATATATCGTCAAATAAAGCAAAAGTCCCAAAGACACACACCAAGACTTTCACCGGATGTTGGACTTGTCGAGAGCGTCGAGTAAAGTGCGACGAAGAACACCCTCACTGTCGGCGGTGCCAGAGGAGTGGTTGGGAGTGCAAAGGGTATGATTTGCGCCTAGGATGGTCTCAAACTCCCGGGAGACGCTCTCACCGGCGTCAATTCAGATCCCTAGCACCGGATGTGGACCATGAGTTGTCATCTACCGCTGTGACAGCGTTGCTGGTTGAGTTGGATGGGTATTCAGGGGACGGCTGTGCCGAAAAACGAGGACCATTCTCGGTCTTCTCTGTTTCTTTATGCCCCGAGACTCTGGATGCAGGCTCTGTTGATCTACCCAACTTGAAAGATGCATTTTCAACCCAAAATGTAGCAGATATGCAGCATACCTCGTCGGACTTAAGTCACCCACCAGTTGATGATAGAGATGGCGAGTTGGCTTCACCAAGACCAACATGGGATGGAATATCATCTATTACCCTACAATCTGCGTCTGAATTCAACGACGGATCATGTACGGCATTGCCAGAGCCTAATTATCGGGTTGATGACATCTCTATTAACGCCACCGCCCATGTCGTTAATCACAAAAGTCCCGGGAACAGGCCGTCAGGACCGAGTGATTACGGCAGACCAGTATCAAATATTCACAACAATGGGACCGAGATCCCCCTCTGGAATTCCATGGGTCCATTGATTCTCCCCAGACCAGAGACAGAGCTACTCCATCACTGGGTTATTTTTCTCAGCGGAAACATGCTCCTAATCGACACCCCGGACAATCCCTGCCGGACAGTGTTCCTGCCTCTGGCTCTGAAAGGCCTCGCTGCCTCCCCAACAGAGACGAACATCCATATCTCAATCTTCCACGCCATTTGTGCTTCCTCCGCCTTCAGTCTTTCTCACCTCCGCCACGATTCGCGGTACCACTCCATCGCTGTCCACCATGACCAGCTAGCTCTGCGTCATTTACGAGGAAGCCTGCAGCGGGCTCGCTGCCTAGATGAGCCCACATTAGCTGCTGTCCTCACCTGTATTACCGCTGAAGCTATGTCTGGTCGTCGTAGCCGATGGAGAGCACACGTTTCTGGATGCCTTGGTCTACTGCAAAACGAGATCCATGGCGGCTGGATCCGAAGTCCAACTACTGCTAAATTACTCCAAAGTTACTTGTCCCTTTCATCCCTATGCAGTCTTCCTATACCCGAACGGCTCATGTCGCTCCTCAATGGCCCCTCCGATCTCCATCACTACCTAGAGCGATCGCATGGAGTCACAACACCACTGGTCCAATTTCTCGCTCAAATCACTGCATTTGTTGAGTCCCAGACACAGCTATCCAGCGAAGAGCTAGACCGACTTGAACTCGAACTCTACTTGAACTTTCCATCCCCATCAAACCCAAACGCCCCGGGTTCGATTATCGTCCAACACGCTCTGAACTCATTCTACTACGCGACGATTGTATACTTCCGCCGCAGTTTGCGTGGCGCACTATTGTGTGACGTACAGGATTTGGTCGAGAAAGCAATACACGAGCTTGAATCTGTCGAATTGCTCACGCGTGACAACGGCGGTTGTTCCTACAACTGGGCAAGTTTTGTAATTGCGGCTGACTGCGAGCGGCCTGATCTGCAAGGCCGCATGTTGGCATTCTTCGACCGGAAAAGTCGACACGGGATCCAGAATATCAATATATTATGTGAAATCGTTCAGGCTTTGTGGAACCGGCGGACAGCGGCTGGACCGCACGTCGATATACAGTGGCAGGATATTGCAAGGGAAGCTGATTTTGACTTCATGCTTGTTTGAATATATGGATAGAAACATACAGGACACAAAATCCTATGGTATCTTTCACCGGGACAACAGTTTTTCTTCGTTAAACCATTACCAATGCCCCATCACACATACTAAGATGTTACACCCGTCTATAAATACTCGGGGCCCACAGAATAAGCCATGTGGAGTCCAAAGTGGGTACTCGAACCCTTTCCCCACAGAGCAGATGCGTACGAAGTATGAACTTCCATCGCTACTTCAAATCTCTACAAATAAAAGTCACCGAAAAGATCATGTGCAATTAAACCTCATAAACTAATACCAATCAAAACCGGTGGCGCATCATAAAATATGTGCTCTTCACAGAACAGCCAGTGCATTAGGAGGACTCGCAACAGCACCAGGAAAATTCAACGGTGACGAAGTAAGCAAGAAAGAATACTGCCTACTATCCCTACAAGCATGAGCTAGCGCCTTCAAATCCCAAAGTTCCCCAAGCGGAATACCCAACAAACTAAGACACCACTGATGCAACACAAGCTTATGGGTAGGCTGCTCAACGCCATCGATGATAGGCGGCATAGCCTCAACAGCTGTATTATCACTAGCAACAGCAGCGAAATGTCGATCCCATAGCCATCGCGCCATTTCCTTACTCCCCTCCAGTCCGCATATCTTGCCACTTCTCATCGCAGCCCCCTGCTCGGCACCGGTCATTTGACCCAGCGTCTCTGTTACGCCGAATCGGATGAGCAGGATATCTCCTGCTCGGAAGGTTAGTCCCTGCCAGGCAGCCACTATTTCTAGCTCGGTGGTCCCGATGCGGAAACCGGAGAATTGGTTGTAGTTTATTCCGTGGTTCTGTGCGTAACTTTTGAAGTCGATTAGTACACCTCGGCCTGTTACACAGCCGCGTTGGTGCCAGTCTAGCTTTTCTCCGTTAGCCCTTTTCAGTGTTAGGGTTGGGTTTGATTGGAGGTTGCTTACGGTCTAGTGTTGGGAGATTCTGGGCAGATTTGGGAGTTTGAAACGCATCGACTGTTGGTTTTACTCCGTTGTAGGTAAGACCGGTTGGGAGGTGCATGAAGTGAGCTGGGTTGGGTGTTAGTCTTTTTATTCCAAAAGCTAGAGTTTTCGGACACACCGAAACTATCCCATTGACTACTAGCTTGAGTATTGAACTCAACCTGGGAATTAATTAGCTCCGGTGGAAGAGAAGACGACCCGGTAGTATAATACCTCATCGTCAAACCCGTAGTGGCTACCTGATGCTGGGTCTTCCAACTTCATGACATTGTGACAGAGGCTTTTTCGAAAGAACCCTGGGATTTTGATGCTTCCGATGGGCCAACTAGTGGTATTAGAGCTCATGTCCTGGAGATAGTGGAGGGCATTTCACTTTAGAGAAATAGACACGCCTTGGCGAACCTCCGCGACAGCATCTTTGACGACTTTTGGGGTGAGTAGATTCAAGGTCCCCAGGACATCTTTCTTATCTTCTTTGTCGAATATGCCCCATGTACAGCCTTGCGGCATGCCTTTGACAGGGGGAAGGTCATCAAAGCTCGGAAGAGATGCCATAGTATATAAGATACTCTGATTCCAGCTATAGAGAGCAGAAGACCCCAAATTGGGAAACCGTGTGCCAATATGGGCTGTCAATTTCCTGTATCCCGGGGTTTTCGTTGAAAAAAGATGAAACAATATCTCGATTGTTTTTATTATATCTGTCAGATCCAGGTGGCCTTGAGTTTTGCTTTTAAGCACCTGACGTTCGGCGTTCGGCGTCAGCGTCCCGCACCAGAGATTAAATGCAACACTTGCCATGATAGTGCTACGTATCTCTTCATCTTAGCGTTCTAAATACGAATTCGAGGTTACAAATGAGGCTGCTCCTGTCGGACCACAGGTAGCGCAGGTCCCAAAGCCAGCCTTACACAATTTTGCAACAAGACGCGCCCGGTAGCGATGATGACTGAGAAATTTAAGAGGATGTTGACCACCGGGTTTGCCATGTTGCTTACACTAGATGGAATGGAATGGACACAGCCTGCGGGAGGACGAGTTGGAACCAGCTTGTGCGAGGATAGGCCCTTAATCAATATATGAGGTCTGCGATGTGAGTTATTATGATCGATACACGGAGCCAAACCCTAGTTTGATCCATCCACTGGTCTGGGATGCAGCCATCTGCAGACACCCGACTTCGAGAAGCATGTACGGAAATGGACAATGAGTTCATACTGAGTAATCATCTGGCAAATGAGAAGAACACCACAAAGTCCAGCTTCTGTGCGCTTAAGAATGCCGGTTAATAATTAACTAATTCAAATCCTGTCATGTGTCATTTTCGGTCTAAAGCTCAGGATTCAACCTATAAAGCCCCACCACGGTCGGGTACTGGTCTGCGGGTTAACATGTGCCGATCCCTTCCCAACCACTTTATTCAGCCAGCGAATAGGCACTGTGCTGGAGTACACGGTACGGCGCTGATCGACGAGTTTATTGGTAAGTCTGCGTCTCTTAGTTTGCTCCTGATACTGTAATTGACCTAGGGGTGACATCTCCAACTCCAATACCCTAAAGAAATAACCCCGCCAACCTTGGAACTGGCCATACAGCCCCTCCAATTAATTGAACATATGCACATTATGCCCCTTGCCATTCGACGCCTCTCCCGCAGCAGCCGCAAAGATGGGCCCAGTGACAGTATGCGGCTGATTTACCCGGAGAATGGGTTATAACGGGATGGATCGGGGCCACATCAACTCTCAAAAATGATGAATGAGCTGGCTTATCGGTTCATATTTGACGAGTCGGAATTTGGTGACAACCTTGAAAGTGTGCTCTGTACGGAGTGCATCGTACAGGATCCCGAACCGAGTGTCGTCATATGGTCAGCCATGCCAAGGCGGAGTCTGGGTTCGAGCGACGGTGAGAGCTAAAATTAGTTATTATCAGTGGCGCACAGGACGCTTTTGGCCCCTACATGACTGCAGGTAGAGCGATTCTGGGCCCAGCCGCCAGACTTTCCCGAGGCCCGGGAGCAAGGGTTGAATATTGAGGTATGTAGGAAAGAGAATGGAGTGTACAGGTTACAATGTAGAAAGCGTATGATCCTCAGTTGGACGAGATATACTATGAGGTATAAATCTACAACATTTATACCTGAATCTTGCGGCCCACAGAGAACTGCAGATGATAGGCATACCACCTTCCCCATTTGGAACTACATGAGCAAACAACTTCGGGGATCACAGTATTAACATGGTATTAAAAGATAAATCCCAATATCAGGTCACATTAATCAAAACATTTCCAAGTTCATAGTTGACATGAATATGAGATAATATAAACTCTCATCTTCTAATCCGTCCAATATCTCCAAATCAGTCAAGTATATTAAAATTGCAGTATAAACTCAAGTAAACACTGCGGGGAACACATGGGGGACTAACCATGTTAGGATCGTCAGCTGACTAGTGTGTCCGATTAATCTCGCTCGGGTCATTTTTTTAGTTTCCTTAGTTTTTTTGTCTTTTTTGGTTTTTTTTTTCTTCTTTTCGCTGCATCACCCAGCCATGGCGCTTTGTCTTCCTTTCTAATTGTATTTACTCGTCGTTCATTTCCTCCCCTTTTCTTCTTTCCCCCCTTTATAATCTATGCGGGTTTGAACTTTCCGCTATACCTAGAGAGGTGTGACCCTTAACGGGTCTTCCCACGCTAAGGCCATTTTGGCCTGGAGGCTTAGTTGGGGGGTTCCCAAGTCTTATCTTTGGCCGTTAAATCTTGTGACTCCGACCCCCCCCACACCCCCCGGAGGAACTCAACGCTCCCGGCCTTCCGTTTGCGGCCGAGTCATCCTCTTCCCCCCAACACCTTTTCGATTCCAATGATACACGAGTCCGGTCTATCGACCATGTCAACAATGTTTCAAGATGCAAGCGACAATGAACATACAAAGAAAGAGGATGCAGATAGCCGTTTTTCGGTAGACGAGCTCGTACCTTCCATACTTAATCCCGAGTCGCCACTACCGTCTCTCCAAATTCGCACCGATCTACCCAGCATTCGACCGTCCAACTCGCGCGACTTCGATACTTATGCTTCAACCAGTTGGTCTGGAAGTTATCCACGCCGTACCCCAAGTCTCCGTGCCCTCATCGCACCACCTATATACAGTGCGGGTTCCTTATCCCCAGCATCCATCATGTCCTCGCCTCAATTGAATGCGATGGGTGACATAACTCCATTGCCGTCGCCAATTGGGGGAGCCTCGCCTTGGCGAAAAGCCGATCTGCCCTCGTTATCTCGTTCTTCGTCGATGGCGTCGCGCAACGGTTCCAGCCTTCGCCTGAGTGATTCGTCACAGATGCTTGGGCCACCCGTCATGCCCCGCACGCGCGCCAAACCATACACGGGGATTGACGGCCAAGGGGAAGAGTCATCCATGAGCAATTGGCGTCGCCGCGACTCGTCCTCAAAGCATTCTCATTCTCGGAACCGCAGTCTGAGTGACTATGCGCCACCCGGCCGCGTCTCTGTTCCTCCCCGTCCAATTGCAGTGCCGGGGAATACCGGACTTGGCATTGCCTCGTCGTCGAGCATAGATTCGAAGTCCAATGGACTTCATCGCGAGCAATATCTCGCTGTCCACCGAGGTATCGCATTGCCGACCATCCGTCCTCCCAGTCCGCCTCGCAGCAGTGGCAGTGGATATAGTGACAATGAACCCGTCATCCGTCACCCTGCCCCGCTCTCCACGCCCCAGGAGATATATTCTGTCCGGTCGGTCCGCACAGAGCAGGCCCGTATCTACCAGAAAGTCCGGGCATTGGGCCAGGGCACGTTCAGTCAGGTCAGTCTGGCAGCACGTGTGGAACCAATCCCCGGCATGCCTTTGTCACCAGATGGGGATGGAGCTGGCCCATTCCACGGTTTTGTCAACAACCAAAAGCTCGTCGCTGTCAAAATCATCGAGCATGGACCCGCCGGTGGTGCAGATGAGGGCCGACTGGAGGTGTCACTCAAGCGCGAAGTAGAAATTCTGAAGTCGGTCAACCATCCGTCCCTCGTCCAACTGAAAGCATTCGGAAGCGATGAAAAGCGTGCTTTGTTGGTTTTGGACTATTGTCCTGGTGGAGATTTGTTCGAGTTTGCAACGTCAGGAGCTCATCGTATGTCTGCGGGTTTGATCCGACGTGTTTTTGCCGAATTGGTGGATGCTGTGCGTTATCTGCATGCTCATTACATCGTTCACCGGGACATCAAGTTAGAAAGTGAGCCAGCGTTGTTTGGCAAAATACTGCAGACCTTCTACTGACCATGTCTAGATGTTCTGCTTACCATGCCTGCTCATATTATGGATGACGTGCAAGACTGGCGTACCTACGACCGCGCCGTGGTCACCCTCAGCGATCTTGGACTGTCTCGACGCATCCCTGAACCGCCCGAGAGCCCGCTCTTACAGACCCGATGTGGCAGCGAAGACTACGCAGCCCCCGAGATCCTGATGGGCCAGGCTTACGATGGCCGCGCCACCGACGCTTGGGCACTTGGTGTTCTACTCTATGCCATCATGGAGAATCGGTTACCCTTTGATGTTCTGCCTGGCACTCGAGGGGATCCTGCCAAACTTCGTGCCCGCACTCCGCATCGTATCGCACGTTGTGAATGGGCTTGGTATAGATATGCCGACGAGGAGGAGGAATGGGATCCCGAGAAGGGTAAAGGACTTGAAGGGGCCCGTGACTGCGTGGAAGGTCTTCTCAAGCGCAACACGAAGCGCAAGACCCTTGATGAGATTGCTGCTATTGATTGGGTGCGCGATGCTATCGAGGTGCCTGGTGGTCTCAAACGAGGCGACAAAGAAGTGCCATAGAGCCGGTCTCCGATGTGCCTTGTTGTCCCATATATTGTCCTTCTTTTTCTTCTTTTTTTTTTCACCTGTCTGACGTTCCTTCATTCTCTTCCCTTTCTTAACTCACATACCTTTTCTTCTACCTCCTTTTCTTATTGATTCTTATTATTCACGAGACACGATGACTAAATGGGTCATTATGTGGATTGAATGTTATGTTTTTATGGCTAGACCGGTTTTTATACCCTTTTTTATATACAACTACATATGTACCTCCATGAGGTAAGACACCGAAATACAAGACACATTTCCCTTCTGTCCCCTGCTGCAGACATCCCAACTGGCGATCGTCACGGTGTCATGACTCGTGACCGAATTAGCCAACAACTATCACCTTGATCTCCGCATCCGTGTTACACGGGGGAGAGCTGAAAAGATAGATGTAGTTAGTCACCCCCTCCAATAATCATTTTGACTGGCATGGGAGCTGCGTGGCCCTCTTTCTGGAAAACATTGTTTCCATCGGTGTTTTAGGTATTTTCCTCAGTCAAGCACGCTCATACGTATAACAAAATAACCATGGCAATCGGACGGAGTTACGTATCATATCTGGGTGATCAATGAACAAGCTGGAAGTGTGGTTCGCGACTCAGCCGCTGACAAAGGGACTGCTAAGTAACAGGCCGGCAGCTGGGCAACTTGATACCGTATGGGCTCAACATGCCCTCCAACAAGACCACTAACAATGCAAGTCAAGCCAATGTCCTTTCTCAGTTTCAGGGTAGACGGTTGTATAGTTCTGGATTTCATTGGTCTGTGCATTTTTATCTCTCTTTTAATACTGTTTTTTATATGTTGTTCTCTTCCTATGTAGCCAAGATTTAGTCTTGGTACGTATGTACTTTGTATTATTGACAGCTCCAAATCTCATGACGTCAAGAAACCAAATGATACAAGTTCAGCTGAAATCCAAGCTTCGTTCACATGCGACCAATCGCTATTGTTGTGGGGGGCGCGCCCTGGATGGGGCTGTGCCTCGTACTCGGACTCCAGCCTATCGAAGCTCAGCAGAGTCGAAGTCGATGGAGAATCCGTGTGATGAGAGTTGCTAAGCGTATTTGGCGTGAAGAACCTGCATAACTCCTGCATCATTGCCTCTTTTTTTTTCTGCCTTACATGGATGTGCAGGGATTGGGGCTCTTGAAATTCTATGGGATAACCGTGTTGAATCTAGGCACTCCACGCATTCCACCTGAGTTGGGATATACACCATGGCCTTTGGGCGTTCGAGTCGCTCAAGGAGACCGTCATCTCCAACACCCCCGCCAAAACCGCCACGTCCGAATCAGCGTGAGAACGCAATAGGGGTACCGCAGAACTATGTCCAACCTCCGTATGCGTCGCCAGCGGCAGCGTATTCAGTCAACACGTTTCATACAGCCGCAGTCCCATATAATCAAAATATGATGTCCATGGTTCATTTACAACCACAGCCAGCACCACATCCAGTCCATCCTCTCCCGGGAACTGCTCTAAGCAGTCCGCCATGGAACTCTCAACCACCGAGACCCTCAAAATGGGCCTCATGTACAAATCTGAACCAATCAATGACCAGCTTAGTATCGCATACAGTCGAAAAAACCAATGCCACAATTCTTGAGCTCGAGCATTTGGTCCACCAAAGTTTGGGTGGTGGTGCGAACGTCAAGGAGGCCACATCGCGGTTATTAGACCAAGTCATCACCTCGATCGACCTGGGATCGTTTTGTGGGAGAGAAAATGAACTGAGTAAGTGCCATAGTTCCGATCGTATATTAAAATATACTCATTGGAGACAATAGTTGCTGCGTGTACAATTCCTCCCCGGTCAGACGAGAAGAAAGATCGTCGGTCACAGCGAAAAGGGAAGAAACCGACAGGATCTGTGGATTACTTCTCCAAGGTGTATCTATATGCCAATTCGCGATTACCACCGCATTTACCACCACTGAAATTGTAAGACACTTCAACACCCCAGGTACTATTTGACCCAACTTGCTAATCTCCTATTAAGCTATCCTCCAACATATCCCCTACTCCAACTCGCAGCCAAGTACTCACGCCGCGTCTACGACAAACCTTCAGGCCGCGAACGGCATTCATACGTCGACTCAGACTGGCTACATGGTACCAAAGCCATGGTGGTCAAGTCACTACCAATCGACGACATGAACACGATTGTCTTCGCCATCCGTGGTACACAGAGTTTCCTGGACTGGGCCGTAAACGTCCGGGCAGCACCAACCTCTCCCACGGGCTTTCTAGACGACCCATCCAATTTCTGTCACTCGGGGTTCTTATCGGTGGCCCGAAAAATGGTCACCCCCGTTGCAGCCCGGCTACGTAATCTTCTCGAAGAAGATCCCACACGCATGTCCTACTCGCTAGTCTTCACTGGTCATTCCGCAGGCGGTGCCGTCGCCAGCTTACTATATCTACATCTCCTATCCGAGTCACCAGTCGTGCAATCCGAACTCACTCATCTCCGCGGCTGCTTTAAGCACATCCACTGTGTCACGTTCGGTGCTCCGCCTCTATCTCTGCGTCCGTTACAGCCCTCTCCTACTGCTCGAGGATCAAAGTCTATGTTCTTCGCTTTTATCAATGAGGGTGACCCGGTTTCCCGTGCCGACAAGAACTATTTTCTCTCGTTGCTAGATCTGTATGTTTCACCCGCTCCGGGGTCACTACTAGCCTTGTACGACAAGAAGAAGAAATCTGCTCCTATTTACTGGAGAATTCCCACGTCTGATCTATCACTCGCCGGTCGGCTTGTTCTTCTTCGTCCGCGAGATCAACCGAATAGCCGCCCTGTGTTTGTAGCGCCGCCGGTGCCTAGTGGACCCCCTGCACTGCCACCAAGGGAAAATGTGGATGCCTATGGGATTACAGATACCGAGCTTCGAGGTGTGGTCTTTGGTGACCCTGTTATGCATTTCATGGACTTGTATTCCCGTCGTATTGATGCCTTGGCTAGAGGTGCCTTGAGTAAACGATCGTGATAGTGTCATGATATGTATTAGGGCTTAGTGTTCGGATGTTTTGTGTCTATTAGCGAGCTATTAAGATACCCAATACCCATTTACTGTTTTGACGTTCGCAGAAGATATGTTCGCTCGCTGTATCATTGGCAATTGATATCCTTTGAGGCAATGTTCTATATATGCCTTTGTTGATCTGGTGTCTCGGTAATAATAGAGACCAACTCAAAGCGACACATTAAAGAAACAAAGAAAAGGACTAAAGACCAAGATCTTCAAAGATCAATGAATAGTCGTAGTCTCTACCTCTACAAATATATAACAATCCACTTAGCTCCTAAATATATATCCCTATGATCGCAGGCCGACCTCAAAACCGAAGCAACAGAAACCTCAAATATATTATACAGTACCTGTGTTGCTTCTTTTGACTTAAGCTATAAATAGGACTCTCGAAAATGTGCGTACAAACCTATGACATGTGGACAATGTGCAACTGCATTCATTTCGGACGAATTGAACGTTGTGAAGAGTTCGGCATGCCATTTTCCCAACGAGAACGATGTACAGGACGTGTTCTACGAGCCCTCAATGTCGGCATCATTGGAATTCCCGAAGACCGGCTTCATCAAAAGGCTGGAATGTGCTCAGGGTGCTCTGAGAAGTTGAATCGAGAGATGTGGGCGCTTCGTTGGGAATGGACGTCTCGTCAGAGTGAAGAGTGGGCGGCGAAGCAGAAAGGTGAGAATTAATAGAGATACAGAATGCGAGAAATTAAAAGGCAAGGTGTTGTCTTTTTGATTAAGTCAAACTTCGATTACTATGTTTCTAAACGATTCTACAAAATGGGATATGACTGCTCAAGGTAGTGCTGAGTGTAGAAGACCCGATGGTTTGTCACAAAGACACCTTCTTTGCAGGAGATGGGCTCTGTGGATTCCGAAACACATTGTTCGGATCAATTTGCTCTTTGATCTGCTGCAGTCTAGGGAGATTGGTTCCCCAGTATGCCTCGGCAGCGTTGGGCATAAGAGGATCAACGTAACCCGGATAGGCAGTGTAGGGAAGCGCATCACTGGTGACGATCTTATTAAATCCATTGAGGAAGTTGATCTGGGCCTGGGAGATGTGTCCTAATAAATTGATTGTGTAGGACTGTAACCAGATGAGGACGTCACGGTGGGCATAAGATGTAGCATTAGTTGGGATGTCATTGGTGTAACCTCCCTGGAAATCGAACAACAGGAACCAGCCCAAAGTACCCTTGTCGACGGTATCAATGTAGTCGAACATTTTGTCGATGGTCTCCGCTGTCATCAGGGTCTGGGGCGTCCAAGATGTAGACTTTGCGTAAAAGTTTGTTGGGATTCCAGCTGCCAATCCCAAAATAACATCCTGGGCCCAGTGGGCGACAAGACCTAGCCAGTTATCAAAAACCAATGCACTGCCATTTGCACCGGGGAACTTGCTGCCAAGGTTCAACTTATCATACTCTTCCTTGGTGCCGAAGAAGGTACCGCTGATTGCCATACTTTTCTCCAGCACAGTGAGGGTAGACGCCATCTTTCGCGTTAAGTTAGGATCTGATACGAAGGCCTGCCAGCTTTTAAAAAGGGCTGCCTGCTGTTTTAGGTCGCCCAACTCCATGCTATATGCGTACTGCACCGCAGTACCAGGCTCAGGCTCAGTTCGGACCTTGAACTCCGTGACGATACCGTAGCCGGAGGCAGCACCTTTGATAGCCCAAAGAAGATCCTGATTTTCCGTATCCGAGGCTCTGACGATGCTCGCGTTTGCAAGAACCACCTCAACCTCTAGTACATGGTCAAGTGCGGCACCAAATTGACGCGAAGTCGGACCAAGACCACCAATTGTGAAATGTCCCCCTGAACCGACTTGAGGGCAAATTCCGTGAGACATTGCCCGTCCTCCGGCGTGGTACAGCCGCTGTGTCACATCACTTAGCAAACTTCCCGCCCCAATTGTCGCTTGCCAGGATGTATTGTCCATGGAGAATTGTTGGAGATGCTTCAAGTCAATCGCAACGGCACCGTCTGTTCCTCCAAGGCCTGTCACATATCTGATGTTAGTCTTCATGTCAAATTCATTTGGGCCAGGTTAGCTTTAGGATCTCACCGTAATTGCCATAGCTGTGCCCGCCACTTTTGGCCTGGACTGGATATCCATTCTCTGCGGCACACTGAACAATAGCAGCCACTTGCTGAGAAGAACTGTGGTCTATGAGTAAGGGACATAATGAATTATTCTCTTTAGCGATACTCACGTGGGAAAGGCCACTGCTGCTGGAGTAATGGGAATGTTCAGGTTGTAGCGATTCACAATGTGGTCATAGAACAGATCACCGGCCAAGGCAAAACTCCCCTGGTCTGTCAGGGCATTTTTGAAGCATGACCTCAATGCCTCACTGGGGCCAGCAAGAGCCACCGATGTGGCTCCCACTGTTAAAACAAGCAGCTGTAGAAGCATGGTCAGTCTCTGCAAAGTGTGCCTTCGGCCAAGTCTTGGATTGGAAGGTAATCAGGAAAAGAAGAGAGGAAGGACCTGAGAGGAAGAGATATAAACCAGGGGACCACGTCACGTAGCCCAAACAGAATTCGTGCTTCAATCCAGAAGATCATGTCAGATACCTGATTAGTCTCAAGTTTCGAAGTAATTTCGTTTGCTCTCATGAACTGAGCGGGTGATATTTGGGATGCTTTGAGGCTTGACACATCTGCAAACAAAAGTCCAGTGGGAGAGAGTACATAATATTCGTGACTCGTTGGTCTAATTAAAAACCAAGAGCTGCCCCAAGTCCAAGCAAATATACAAGGGGTTTAGTCAGATCTGTATCGGCAACAGCCTCGGCGTGTATATCATGGGCTCAATGAAGGCATTATATATATACAATAAGTCTCCCTACCCTATACAACTTCATACCTGGATAGAAACCAATCCTAAGCCCCGAGCCAGATATTAATACTCGCCAAGGGAGATCCATCCTTTACCATTAATCTTGTGCCCAGCAAACCAGATTCGACTTGCAAACTGGATACGCAAGCCGCGTAATGTACCAGCAATATTGGCGGGAATAGCCTGATTCCACACGATGTGTTTGGGTTGAAAATCTAAAATTATACCGAAAGAAATACTATTTATTGAGATCACCATGTCCGACGACTCTGACTCCACGCTCTGGAAAACTCCTGCTTGTCTTTCACCCCCAAGCCAACCCGCTTGACCCGACCTAGACGAGCCAACGACTCTCCCACATTATCCAGCAGCGCCTTCTCGCCGCGCGAGAGTTGTTCTTCTTGCCCGTTTTGGTCCAGTGTGTCGAGGTAATTCGTATTATAGGTCGACTTGCGAGTTGAATCAGTGGCATTTTGGCTATTTGTGATACACTCCGCGATGCGCACTCTGATACAGTGGGTCGGTTTGCTAAGCAGCGTCCACAGCAAGCTCATATAACTCCCGGGGAGCGGGGTCACGATATCCATAGGCGTATAGCGCAGACTGACGGGGAAGATCTTGGTCTTAGGGGGCACGCTGAGAAGGGAGTTGCTCAGAGTCAAGATGCCGCGACCGTTGGTGGTAGTACACTCTGGGAACAATACAATCGGCCTGCTGGGGTACTGCTCGACCAAGGTCGAGACATCCACCATCTGGGCACCCGGGGCCGGCTGCGTAGCGGGGGAAGCGAAGGCTCGTAGAATGGCCTGGAGCAGAGAGATGCGCTCGACTTGGCGAGTGTTGGGGTAGGACGCTGTGAAGATCGGGTCGAAGATAGCTGCCAGGTAGACGGCATCAATGGGCGATGTGAAGGATGAGGCGATGACCGAGCCGGGCTGTGGTAGACGCGCTTGCTGCTGCTTCAAAGACCTGTGTCGGAATTGATTGTTAGTTATCAGCGGAACAGGCTATAGTTTCAACAGTACAGTACGAACCCTTTCCGCACTCCGTCCACTTGGAGATCAACCCACCAGATGCTGGGAACTCCAAGGATGCACCATAGAGCAGCTTTTTTACCCAGCGATCCGATAGGAAACCATTGTAAGATCAAAAAATAGCTAAGAGTGACGAAGATGAAGAGCGGGAGGCGGAAGCAGAAGAGGAAAATACGAAGGGGAGCTTGGAGGCCGAGTGGTTCAACAGGGATTGGGAGGAAGGGCGCAATGCCCGATCCTGGGACATGTCAGTATAAGTGTATCTGGAGGGGCTGGTCATCAGAGCGGAAATTCACCTCGGTCCCGGAACTGAGAGTATCTCTCCATCTCGTGTTCTGATAGCTTTAGGTAGAATGAGCAGGGGTACGGGCTCAATGTTCAAGAAGCCATGCGCTAAGGAAGTGTTTATTTGGAAATGTCTTGGCAGCATAAGTTGCGACTCGAACTCGGGGCTAATTCTGACAGTGAAATTGGGTTGACAAGCTGGTGCTCTTCACATGCGAAAAGAGCTGCCACGTGATATATGCCTGAGGCACCCAGGCGTATTTTCCAGGGGTATAAAAGCACATATCGATGGACCTTCGGATATTAAGTTCTGTGTCTGAACATTTGAAAACATAGTTATATATAATATAAGAGATAAAAGAGATACGAAAAAAAAGAAACGCCCTAAATGCGCAGGGAGGCTAAGAGTAGTATACAAGATCTAGAGGATCACGCCCTGTCATCCCCGTCAGAATCCTCCACAACAAAGTCCGGTGTCGGAGGACTTGGAGGCAGATTAAAAGACCAGATGGCTACTCCGACTAAACAGAAGAGCGTACTGGTCATCATCCACGCGAGACCAATCCAGAACCCACCGAGACGCAATCCAATCTGGAAGACGGTGGTGATGGATAAACTCGCAACCACATTTCCCAATGACTGGATGATCTCAATCGCAGTAAACAAGCGAGCTGTCTCATCACGTTCAACCAAAGTGGTAATGATAGAACGACAAAGGAAAACAAAGCCCGATCCTGATGTCTGGATGATCATGCTGGGGATCAGGGTCGCAATCGTTGGGGAGAGGCCGATTCCGAGGGTTCCAACAGTAAGACAGAATATACTGCGGCGCGCGAGCCAAAGGTCTTTTTCCGTCGATGAAAGACGAGGGTTCAGGACTCGGCTTTTGAGCAAAGGTAGGCCGAAGAGGAACAGCGGAATTGATACGGTCGGACGAGCAGATACCAGGAAGTTTGCTTGTGCCAGTGTCCATGAATAACGTGTCGATATATATTGAGTCAAAAACCAGGACGAGCCTCGGCTCAGGCGGTAAACCAGGAATGCAGTGAGAAGGAGAAGGACTGGTTTTCGGTTGAGGATGAACCGGTAGGGTTTAAGGTAAAAGCGGTAGTTTGCGCGAAACTTTGCCAGGATAGATTGATGGGAGTATGATTGGATGCCCCAAGACGGTGGTTCGTTCTCATGATCACCATTCATGTCGGGTACTGGACGATATGGTTCGGGTTCATTGAGATTATGTAAAGAAATCTTTCGTTCGGGGTCATCTGTTAGATCTGACATCTCAACATGAGTTGGTTCAGCTTTCCGGGGTGGCAGTGCATGTTTCGTTTCCGGTAGCACCAAAATGAGCATCATGCCAGCCATTACAATTGCGAATCCAGTAACCAATGGTATCCAGGGATTCAAGGTCATCAGATAAGAACTAAGAGCGCTTGAAGCGAAATCGGCGCCCATCGAGACGATGGCAAATTGAAAGAAGATACCCGCTCTGTGCCACTCGATTAGCATTTATAAAGCTC